AAATATTATCTTAATGATAATCATAATAAATATTTCTTATTATTATCATCAAGTATCTCAAATAAAATCATTTACAATAATATGAATGACCAGTAGATGAAAAAATCATGTATATGTGTATATAATATGCTCATATTAAAAAAGAATGCTATCGTACACTATTAGGGCAAAGATAAATTTAAAAAAAAAATTAACAACATACAAAGTTTCATGTCGCAATATTTTCTAATATATAAATGTTTAAAAAGTCTTGATTTTGATGAAAGATTGATGAAATTAACATTCATCTCATATAAAAGTTTAAACATACATTTTATAACTTTTGCTTTAAAAGCACAAATTTAACACAATAAGTAGTTCTTACATAAATAATAAAGTTATATTTAATTATTTCATTGAAAATATACCATCACCTGCAACTGCTTTACTTTACATTCTTTAACGATAATTGATTCTATATTAACCAATCACTATCGTCGTTTACTTGAACTGTACAGTTGTAAATACCGACACGTGAGTGTTTAACCTAGAATATGAAATAAGCGTTTTAATATTAACGAGTAAATATATAATGTGTTAAATAACAAAGTTAGATTAATGAATAAACATTTTATTATGAAAGATTAATCGTAAATTTTTGTTTTAACTGAACTATATATTTACTATATAATGTATAAATATCTTTAAACATTTAATATTTTTTTTAGTGTCTCTTCACAGTTCAGTATATAACTTAACAAATAAAAAATGGGTTTGACAAAACAATATTTGAGATATGTACCAGCTGGAAATTTAAATATAATTGTCAGTTCTTCTTGCAATATTGCTTTTGTAACATTACAAGGCCAAGAAGGTAGATTTGTAGCAGTTGGTGCATGTGAACATGTTTTTATATGGGATTTGCGATTAGGAGAAAAGGTAAGTTATAAAATATTTCCACGCTTTTTTAGAATAAATCTTACAAGTATTATAAATTTCGATATTTCAGGCACAAATATTATCAGGAGATAAAATAAATGTAACATATTTGATTGCATCTCCGAACAAGCAACATATTGCTGTTGGTTACGCAGATGGCACTATAAAAACATTTGATTTAAAGACAGGAGAAAATATAAGCATATTTGTAGGTCATAAATCTGAAATTACAACTCTGACTTATGATAATAAAGGACATAGATTAGCTTCTGGTTCAAAGGTAATAATAATGTAATAAAAAAAATAAAATATTAGTACGTACAATGTTAATTTTCACTTACTATTTTTCAGGATACAGATATCATTATTTGGGATGTAATAGCAGAAACTGGTATATGTAGATTAACTGGACATAAAGGTGTAATAACCAAATTAATGTTTATGAGAGATCATAATATTATTATTAGTGCTAGTAAAGATACGTTTGTAAAGTTTTGGGATTTAGACACTGAACATAATTTTAGAACTCTCGTTGGTCACAGAACAGAGGTACATACAATTTTGGAGATGTATACAAGGTGTGATAATAATTCTGATCATCTTGAATATCTTCGTTATTTGTAGAGATATGCAAAAACTTTGTTTACAAAAATCGTACAGTGCGAAGGAGACTACAACATGGTAGTAATCAGTTTTTTGTAAGTGGAGGACTTTCGAAGATTTCAATGTTACCTCCATTTTTTTAAATTGCTTGCCGTACTTTTTTGTTCCTGATAGTGTAGCAGATATTTAGACGATTTCAACAACCCCTAGTATATATAAATAAAGACAATAAATAAAAGAGTAAGCAACAAATCTTACGTTATAATAGATGTTCGAAGTGATGCCCGTTCGTATCGATACAACATTGGAATCGGCGGATTGCCGAAGCTCGTACACTTCTTCTCACCTCTGGATTGATTGTGGCACATGCTGGCAGGAAACACAACATAGTAAGAAATGTAAATAGTAATTAACATTGCTAAGACATTTGAGACTTTCTAATACAAACATCATGTAATGACCCCCTTCGTACCGTACGACTTTTATAAACAAAGTTTTTCCATACCTCTAAAAATAACGGAGATATTCAAGGTGATCAGAATTATTGCCACACTCTGTATAATTAAAATTCATTTTTTCATATAATGTATTACTAATAATAATTTTTATCATTTAAGGTTTGGAGTCTTGTTTTAGTTAAAAATGATCAATATTTAATAACTGGTTGTAGTGACAATGAATTACGTGTATGGAAAATATCTTTCACTGATAGTGAAGCAACAGATTTTAACATTAATTTGCAAGATTTAACTCTCATCGATGACGGTGAAATTAGCGTAATAAAAATATATTTTAATAGAAACATCCTTTGAGATGTGAAAAAGTTGGAAATATATTAAGAAGCAGTCGTGGACGTGTTGTATCTCTGGAAGTTGATATAAGTCATACTGTTATTGGATGTCATGGCTTAGATAATACTGTAGAATTATTTCAGTTGTTACCTGATACTAAAGTAAAAGATAATGTTATCAAACGATTGCAAAAAGAAAAAAAGAAAGCAGAAAAGTATGCATAAATATTTTTCTAGTGCGTTTATAAAAATTAAACTTCATACTAATATAAGTATTTTTTACTGTGATATGTACATTCTTTTAATAGAAGTGGAAACAGTACAGAAACCAATTTCTCAAAAGCATCAACTATAAAGGACGAAATCATTCGTCTACCTGTTATCAAAGTGTCTGCTAAAGCTAAAGGATTAGATATGATAATGGGTAGAGGTAGTGAACTTAGGGTATGTTAAAATGAAAATTTTTCTTTTTCTTTCAAAGTAATTGAAAATACTATTGGTTTAATTTTTGTTTGTCATTATTTTAGATATGTATTAGTATAAATAATAATTCTATTGACTTATATTCCCTATTCATGGAAGAAAAGGATGCTGAAATAAAACATTTAAGGTCAATAACAAATCACGGTCACCGTTCAGAGGTCCGTGCTATTTGTTTTAGTTCTGATAATTTAGCTTTTGCAACAGCAAGTGGAGATTCTGTGAAATTATGGAATAGGTATTAAAACATAATTAATAAAAATTTTCAGAAAAATTTAACAATATCATACAATAATTTCTAAACTTCTAGACCAACTTTGGCCTGTTTGCGTACTGTACAGTGTGGTTATGCTTTAACAGCAATATTTGTACCAGGAGACAGACATTTAATTGTAGGTTTAAAAGATGGTAAAATGCTGATTATTGACATTGCATCAGGTGACATTTTAGAAGAAGTACTTGCACATTCTAAGGAACTTTGGAGCATTGCATTATTCTCAGATAAGGTAACTTAGGAGAATATATATTTATTGGTTTTATAGTTTACATTTCGCGCTATTGTATTTTATATTGGTTAAATTCCAGTATATAACATCACAAATATTATTTATATTTTTATAGAAAGGAGTAGCCAGTGGTGGTGGAGATCAAACAGTAAAATTTTGGAATTTTGAACTTATTCAAGATCCTAATAAAGAAATAAAGGCAAAAGTTTTGTCTGTTTTACACATAAGAACTTTAAAACTAGAAGATAGTGTGTTATGTGTAAAAATAAGTCCTAACAATAAATTTGTTGCAGTTGCATTACTTGATTCCACTGTAAAGATCTTTTTCCTTGATACATTTAAGGTAATCACTTAAAAATATGTATATGATCCCCCTTTTATTTAAACAGTACATAATAATTAAAAATTTTGCAATCTTATTTCAGTTTTTCATTTCTCTTTATGGACATAAATTACCAGTTTTGTGTATGGACATATCGAGTGATTCAACACTTATTGCTACTGGTTCTGCTGATCGTAATATGAAAATTTGGGGTTTAGATTTTGGTGACTGTCATAAATCAATATTTGCTCATGATGACTCTATAACAGGACTTTCCTTTGTGCCTAATACACATTATATGTTTACTTGTGGGAAAGATGGAAATGTAAAACAATGGGATGCTGACACTTTCCAAAAAATTGTGACACTGCAAGTAATTAATTTCCTTAAGAATATTCAATGAATAACAAGCTAATAATTATAACAAATAATTATTTATTTAGAGGCATATAGGTGGAGCATGGAATTGTGCTGTTTCACCAAATGGAATTTATTTTATATCTTGTGGATCTGACAAAGTAGTTAGATTATATGAACGAACTTCAGAGTCTTTAGTTCTTCAAGATGAAGAAGAAGAAGAAAGAGAGCGCCAAGAAAATGAGTTAGCTACTGGAGAAACTACCGTTGTTCCAGGACAAAAGGCACAATCTTTACCTTCAAGAAAAACAGTATCTAGTGAAAAAGGAGTAAATATCAATAAATCGGACATACAAATTTATATATTTAAATCATTATATATAATATAAAAATATATATGATATAATTTCCAGGCTGAATTGATATTGGAATGTTTAGATGTGTCTAAAGAATACAATGAACAACTATTGAAGGCAACAATAAACAACATACCTGTTATTCCTTTGCAAATGCAAGCTAACAATTGTACATCTACAGAAGATTATTTATTAGAAACATTTAAGCGAATTAGAGCAAGGTATGAATACATTTTAAAATTCACTTGTAAAGTTATAAAAATGACAGTTTACACTCCAATCATAGTGACATTTACTGTCATAAGATGTATACTTAACAAAGACACTTATTCAGAAATGTCAATCGGTTGTCGTCAGAAAATTAAAATATTTCATAAACTAATAATTTCTTAATACAACGGATTCAATACCTAGTAATACTGTTCTTTACTTACTGATATTTTTCCATTAAAATGCAAAGTTGCTTTTCATATGGTCTACACATGTCTATCAACAAAAATCTTGTCCCCCCTTGAAACTGTCCAACTTTTGCTTGAATTATTTTTCATTATCATTAGCAGTTTCGAATATATTCATGTAGATCAATTTAAATGAAACACCCTATCTATTCAGTATTAATGTAATAAAAGTGAAATACATAATAAAATGATCATTTTATAGTGACTTGGAAGAGACATTACTATTATTACCATATTCAGCTGCTTGCGAAATTCTTAAACAAATTCCTAAACTATTACAATCAGACTATCATACTGAATTAATTGCACGGCTAGCATTATGTTTAGTGCAAGCTCACCATGGTCCAATTGTAGCTACTCAAGAACTTTTACCTATATTAGAAACTGTGAAAACACTTGCTACTAGAAAAGTTTCTGAACTAAGGGTAAGAACAAAATTGTTATATAATTTGTTATTTAAATAGTTATCTAAGTAATTTTAAAATTGATTTTTTAGGATATGATCGGATTTAACTTACACGGAATGATACATATGCAACGAATTGTTGAAGAAAAGGAAGGAATACAGCTTTTCAAAGACGCAACTAAAAGCAGAAAATATAAAAATAAAGTCAGAAGAAATAAACAAAAAGCATTAAAAAGAGCAATTATGTCTTTATAAAATTTTTTACTTTATAACAATAAAAATATTTTGTATATATGTGCTTAACTAATCAAATTGTTATTTTCAAGATATCACCTAAAAAAAAACTCTTAAATGCAAATACAATACAAATTTCATTTCAGAAAGAAATAATTAATATAGTGTTAAATTAAATAATAATACAAATTTTATTGATACGCGTTTCATGTTATTATTTAAATAGTTTAATTTTTTACGCTAAAATCTTGGTATATCACCTTTATATACATATATCTGTGCAATTCCTTATTTTGATAGTTTTAACGATTCATATACTTTATTACATCTAATTTGTACACATAAGTCTGTCATAAATGATGTTACATGAGCTTCCTTATCTTTTTGTCTGCCACTTTCAAAAACAATGACTACTATCATCCTAGGATCAGTATTATACATAGTATATGTACACACATCCTAAAAAGAGAGCAGTTTGTATTGTCATATACAATTTATCTAAAAGTGCATTTAATAACATACTTTAGCATTTTTGCAATATATAATTTTATCCATAGCAAGAAGCTCTGTATGCCGTTCTTTAATAACTTTCTGTATAGTATCCAAATGAATCGATGGCTTTTGTATAAATACCTACAGCAAAATATTCTTTTTAATAAACAAAACCTATTTTGACATTAGTACTGTATAAAACATATTAAATATTTTTTGCTTTTTAATTGTTCATAATATATATAAACGTACACTAGGACAACTAAGAACAACAGGAAGTTGTTCAGAAATATTTGGTTCCCTACGAGGATGTCTGTAACCTGGACCTGCATCTTCTATTCCTCGAGAGTCAAATATTATTAAAACTGCTAGGACATCATGTTTACGTTGGAAACTTTGTATTCTAAAACAAAAATGTACCAATATTTACTCAATAATTTACACTACTTACTCAAATTAAATAATTAAAAATGTTTTACTTATGATAATAATCCACATTTTGCTTGCTCATGATGCTTCTCATTTCTCCTGGACTAGCCTGCTGACTTAAAGTAGTGTGAAAATATAAAGAGCATTTTGCTAATATGCTACTACGTAGTTTCACTAACCACTGATACAATGCTGGTTGTTGATTTGCTTTTAAAAAAGTAGCGCTGAACCCCAATTTCCATGACTGCAGATAAAATATTTATTAATAAAAAATTTGTACATTTTTTATTCTTTATTCATGTTGCTCACCTCTTTACTTTGTAAAGTTCTTTCCCAAGCTGACATTCGTGTTTGTGCACCATAAAGAGCCATTAATGTTGGTAGAAATCTCCAATGTTGAAGTTCAACCTGTGCCTTTGTTAATTGCACCAATATTTCACACTCCAAACTGATCAAAGCATATTTTAATCTCAGGAAGATTAAATCATGATCATGATTTCTAGTTTTTAGTTCACTATAGCTTTCTTTCAATTGTACTTACGTTAAACTTGCTTTAATAGCAGTTAATGCTAAATGCGAACAAGACAAAGAATGAGTTTCCACTATTCCTTCAATACATTGTAATAATTCCAGATATTTCATAGTTTTACTATTGATACTCATATTATACATTTTTTCATAACTGTAATCGAATAATATTACATAAGATATTTAACAACAAGTTAGAATAACAACATACTAACAAATCTATTAGCTGTATTTTTGCTGTAATATATTGACACAGTTGATTAGAAACCTCAGCAACTGTTGCCCCAATCGAATTAGTTCCTCTGGTCATTTCCTCAACTCTTTTCAAATCAGATTTCAGAGATTCATATACTGTTCTTAATGAATTCTAAAAAAAACATTATTACTACACATTAAATAAATATTATTATTATTTTTATTTATATTAAGTTGAATGTTAATGTATTTACATCTTTCCTTAGAAACCCTTTATTTTTAGTATGAAGAAAACCTAGATCTGCATATGAATGTTCTGCTACAGCTATCTGTGGTAAATGCATAAGGAGCATTCCCCATGGACCCATTTGAGTTTGGTGACATAATCCACGTTCTTTTTCCTAAATATTAATTATGAAAAACATAATATTACAACCATTACTAAATTCATCAGTATTTCTATATTCAATATTTTATTTAGAACTAATTGAAAAATTTTATGTTTAAGAATTTTAAATATTATAAAATTATTATTGAGACTGTTTGTTTCATCACATAGCATATACTAATATAGTGTTCATTTCACTAAACAAATGTTTTACATTGAATTTAATAATAATCATACATGTTTTTACTATATACCGAATTAAGCTAAAATTTCTAAAATTTTATACGAAAATTAAATCAATATCTGTTACATTATTTGAAAATTTAAAGATATTTTTCAGTAATTACTTACAACTAATTCTTTAGCTTTGTCAGTACACAATTGTGCAACTTGAGCAAAAAAAGTATTAAGAAACTCTTCTTCATGATCCATTTTTTATTTACTTGTATTGTGATCACGACAAAATTGTTTATGTTTATTTTCATTAGTCATATTTCTAAAGTTCAGATATCTTTAAGTAATGTACACTGATGTACATCTTTCTTTGCCGAATCTTTAGAACTAACACTATCGCACAGCGGCGGTGGTTCCATGTAAAATTATGTACGATGCGTACAATACAAATGGCGTACGATCTATATGAAACGCTATTCGCTACCGTACACATCGTAAGCTATTTCACATGGAACTATCGCTGGTATGCGTTTGTGTTAGTTTTAGGGATTTAGCAAAGATTGATGAGATTCACTGCACTGTAAACGTGTTAATTACAGAATTTATACAATGACATGCGCATAGTATTGAGTTTTAAATTTCTTGCAAATATGTATAATATTAAATAATGTAAAATGTATTACTTATGTTGATGTTTTTTGTATTGTTACGTATTTTGTGGTAGTCACGGGAAAAGGGATCGTGGGTTGGTACTCATGGAGCGTTGAAGCGCTCTGCTCGCTGTGATGCGGGAATATTCAAATAAAACTTAGAAGATTTTTCGTTGCAACTGGTACTTTTATATTTTACAACTGTTTCAAGACCCTTTAAGATTAACGAAGCTTCAAGACTCAAGATACAGAATTGGAATGAATGATTTGGGAAATTTTTGAACGCGAAGTCTCTCTTCTTGTTCTTCTACCAAAATCTGGATCTTCCCTGATTCTCCTTCCATATCCTGGTGGCCCAATCGAGAGATAGTTTCCACCCCATAGATCATACTTCACCCCCGATCCTTCGTTAGTAGATGTGGTGGCAGTTCTTTGTCAGTAGTGGTGGAAATGCAATGCCGATGTAACCGCGAACGTGATGTGCACACGTGCAGGGGAAAGTGTGCACATAGCGATTCGCGCGAGAACTAGCCCTTGACAATATTTATGACCCCCTTAGAGTTCTAGCTAGTTGACTCGGCTGGATATTGTTGAGATACACAACAGAACGAAGAGCGTACATTTCTGAATCCCGAAACAAACATCCTGTCGAGAAAGTCTACATCGTTTAAACTTAAACTCTCAATTGGTTACGGTTCTTGAATAAATTTTTTCGACTACAATAACAAAGCATTTCCGTTCCCAAGTTTTAACTTTCCATAGCCATACTACACATCGAACCCTTAGACGATTTCCAAATACACTCTACCTTTTTTGAAACATGCGTTATTGACAATTCAAATTGCGCTTCAGCTGTGCGCGTCGATCTCTCTAGATTAAGATTACCCTAAAGCTATATTCACGAGTATACACGACAAGTGTTTAAAACTACGTTCACGCAATAGCATAACAGTATGAAACATTATTTAATGTTTATTTTTTTATTTTTATCTATGGAAAATTTCAAAAATAGGCAAGTTGCTTTTCTTAAAACATAAATAAAAGTTATTTATAAACATTTTTTATTAAATTGTTATACATATTATTTTTTAAAATGAATGTTTTTAAAAGCTGCTAATATTGGGGAATTCGTCGTTAAAAAAAGATAATTACTAAATTTAACCTTCTTGCTAAACTAAATAATTTGTTAGGTATAGAAGTAAATTGGTTTTTTAACTTTGAAAGCAATCTTTCGTCGTTTTAACTTGGATTTAACAAATATTGTTTCAACAATTATATCATATGTAAATTCTATAATATAAAAATTGCTGGTTTGCATTTCGGTACTCTCTCTTATTAGTAATTTATGAAGTATTTCTTCTAATCCAAAGTTGGTACCTTTGGATATCTTACTTTATACGATAAAGAAAGTCTCCAGAAAACAAACGTGTTGTATTATATGTAAAATTATTTTTGGAGGTCGAGTGTCAAATCTCATAATGTCAGAAAGTAAAAACGATAAAACAAAAGTCGATTTAGGGCTATTAGAGGAAGATGATGAATTTGAAGAATTCCCTGCAGAAGGTAGAATAACTTAATACTATAGGTGCTAAGTGTACTTTCATAAATACGTATGTGTAGCATCCTAACCAAAATTTTACCCAATGACTTGGTAGATTGGACCGCAGTTGATGAAGACAATGAAGATATTAGTGTTTGGGAAGATAATTGGGACGATGACGATGTAGAAGATGACTTTAACCAACAATTAAGGTAATTTTTATTTTCATTAAATTATTATTTTAATAAATACATTTTTTTTTAATATTC